TTTCCAATTTCATTATTATAAATCTCACAAAAAAATATTTCTTAATTTATGTAATTTTTGTAGTACTTATATGATGATCAAAACTCCTTGCTATGATTTTTTATAATGAATTACTATTAAAGAAAAATAGCATAACACTTTTTTGCAAAGACTGCCTCTTAAATGTCTTATTATATATCTTTTTGAGTGTCATTTATTTATATTGTATCATATATTATCTATATTAATATATTATCTATATATAATCATATATTATATATATTATAAACCTCACATTTATTTATTTAATTTTTACATTTCTTGCAGCCATTTATGATCAAAACTCCTTGTCATGGTTTTTGTGTTTTTAAATTAATTATTATTAAAATAATTAGCACATGTGATGTGATCTGGATGTTCAACACAAGCACAAACTGGTTATTAACTGTTAAACAGAAAGTCCCACACTGCAAAAAAAATGTGTATTTTTGTTTTGTTTTCCATTAAAAAATATCTTTAAAAAAATGTTAGTTTTTGCTTAAAACCAGAAACAAAATCTGCCAATGGGGTAAAAAATGATCTTATTTTTCGTTTAATTAAGATTATTTTTCTTACCCCAGTGGCATAATTTTTTTCTCATTTTAAGCAAGAGCTAACAAAATGTTGATAACTTTTTCAGAAAACAAGACTTAATATCTTAATAAACGAGAAAAATACTAAATGGAAAAATCCTTTTTTGTAGTGCATTCACAACTCAACTGAGTTCAGCTCCATTGTTTTTGTTTATCTCTGTTGCTTCAGGTCAAACAGGAAGCAGCGGTGGAGTCACAGGAAGTGACCGCAGCAGCAGCTGTGGAGCCGCAGGACGGTCTGACGGTTGATGTGGTAGGTGATCCATTCATCACATGATCTTCAGACTCCTCATCAGATGCTCATGATCATGATGAATGGTGTGTGTCATTGAGCTCAGCAGCATCCGTCTGTGTGTCCGTCTCAGTCTTCATGGATCAGGCGTGACTAACGGTGCTTTAACTCCAGCCTGCTAACATGATCTTTGTGTGTTACATGTAGGAGTCTGACGGGTGGGTCATTATAAACAAGGTTCCTCCGTTTGAACCAGATAAACGTCCTCCAGTCGGAGCTGAAACGGTTTCTCGTAAGATACCAGAGAAGGTTTCCACCGTAGTAGAAGAACAACATCCTCCAACATCCTCCGAAAAACCATCTTCCGTCACATCTGAAGAGGTTCCTCCAACAAAAACTGCTTCGGAGGTTTCTAGCATAGTACAGGAGAAGTGTCCTCCAGAAAGACCCTCATCCGTCGGATCCGAAGAGGTTTCGCCAAAGAAGACTCCTCCGAAGGTGCCAGAAAAGGTTTCTACGGTAGTCAGAGGGAAGGTTGAACCCATAAAGGTTCCTTCTGTTGGTTCTTCAGAAGACGCTCCTCCTAAAGTACCACCAAAAGTCCCTCCGAAGGTTCCAGAGAAGAAACACATCGCCAGCTACAGGTTCACATCCGCCGAGCCTCCTGAAGACAAGCCCAGATCTCAAGAAGGCTTCTCCGTTGTGTCCGAGCAGTTCAGTAAGATGTGTCTCCGCTCTCCTGTGGATCTCAGCGGAACGTCTCCGACGGCTCGAGTGGTAGGATTTCCCGACGTCTCGCTCGTCCTCGGCCTGGCTTTGAGATCTCAGACACACTCCAGAGCTCCACACGCGCTCCTGATTTGAGTTCGGTTGTTTTGTTCTGACACGAATCCCTCCGGCTGTGATTTGCTGTCGTTGCTTGTTGTTTTGAGCCTCTTCTCGCCGATCCTGAGAGCAGGAGCCCGTTTTCTTTATTATTTTGGAGAATGCCGCTGCTTTGCTTTAGTCACGACTGAGAACGAACGCATCTTTGTCTTGCGCTCTGCCTGCTGCTGAATACCAGGGTTTATTCACAAGAGAGTCTCTTCTATCTTCAGAGATCACGAGTCAAACGGCTGCAGAAGCTCTTCAATATACATGAATGTGATTTAATTCATCTCGCTGCAAAAAAACAAACAAGCAAGATTTTCTTGCTTAGTATTTTTGTCTTGTTTTCCAGTACAAATATCTGAGCTTTCTTAAATCAGAATACATTTACTTGAGAAGCATAACCACACTTGATATTAGGTTAAAGCAATAAGCCCCGTGAAGCCGTGGTTTACAGTGAGTTTATAACAGCGTTGTTAGGTACGACGTGAAGCGGATTTATAATATATACCCCCTTAGAGTCATTTACAACAGCTTCGAACGCGGCTCAGCCAATCAGAATCAAGCAGCGGAACTCTCCGCTTTATAATTTGTTTTCTATAAAATGTATCAAAAATAAGTGACTTTTTTTCTTAAAACGAGAAAAAATATCTGGCTGTGGGGTCAGAAAAGTGATCTTGTTTTCACTTTGAATTAAGATTATTTTTCTGACCCCACTGGTAGATATAAGCAAAAACTAATCAAATTCTAATATATTTTTTTCAGAAAACAGACTTGATATCTTAAATCATTTTGCATCTCCAGTAAACCTGTCTTGATTTTAGAATGTTTAGAGTTTGCACTGGAAAACGACAGAAGTACTAAGTAAAAAATCTCTTTTATCTTCTACATTATGGTCACTGATATTTTAGTTGTCTTAGTTAGTCGTGTAGTTATTCATTATTCAAGCACTAGTCTGTGTATAATTTATTCTGCGAAAACATTGCTCTCACTGGTTAAAGTTTTGTCCTCTAGCGCCACCTGCTGGTCATCATAACACTGAAGTAGATTCACGGCAAAAACATCATAATCTAACTTAATATTTCTGTCTGTCTGTTTTATATTGGCCTGGTTTCACAGACAGGGCTTAGACTAAGCCAGGATTAGGCCATAGTTCAATTAGGACATTTAAGTCATTTTTATAAATGTGCCTTAGAAAAAACATAACTGGTGTCCATCTTGAGACAAAAGAAAGGCACTGATATATTTTAAGATCAAGTGTGTGTGTGTGTGTGTGTGTGAGAGAGTGTGTCTGTGTGTGTGTGTGTGTGTGTGTGTGTGTGTGTGTGTCTCTGTTCAGCTGAAACAGCTCAGAATTACATTTTAGTCTGGGACTAGGCTTAAGCCTTGTCTGTGAAACCGGGGAATTTTGTTTTGTCTTTTCCAGTACAAATATGCAAGAGGAAGCAAAAAAGTAAATAAATTAAACTGTAAAAAATATATATATATATATATTAAACAAAAATTAAAAAGTGAATTTGATTTTAAAAATTACTTGTTGTTTTTTAAAGCTATTTAATATACTTTGTTTAATTTATTTTTAAAAATGTATTAAAAATTTAATAATCAAATTTAAAAAAAAATTAATGCAATTGTATTATATTAAACCAAAGGCAAAATTTACTTTTGTCCCACAGACCTCAGTCAAGTTTGATTTTTGGCCCTTAATATTAAAAAAACTGTATACCTCTGATCTAAACATACTTAAACCAAGATACATTTACTTGAAAAGCAAAATTACTTAAGATATTAAGCCTTGTTTTCTGAAAATAATTGTATAGTTTTTGCTTAAAACAGGATAAATGTCTGCCGGCGGGGTCAGAAAACTCACAAAGAAAACAGGTTTATTTTTCTGACTGCATTGGCAGATAAACTCACTCAATTTATCCCAAAATAAGACTTAGTAAATGTCTCAAGTAAATGTTTCTTTATTTAAAAATGCTAAATAAGACAACAATACTGAGAAAACTTTTTTTGCAGTGTTAAACTCCATATATTACTGGATGTTTGCAGAATACTTTCATCATTCATCTGAATGATGGCCACGTGTCTACTCTGTTTTAACACCCGAATAAATGTAAAATCTTTGTTTCAAAATTGGCTCAGATCTTCAGACCCAGACTAATAAAAAACCAACAAATCTGCTGGCGATGCAGCACTTCTGCAAATGAACTTTTGTAGGCATCATTGCATCAGTTTGGTGTTAGCGCCACCTACTGGTCAAAAGTTATAAAAAACCCGGGACTGCTCATCATAAACCAATCCACTGGTGTGTTTGGTGAAGAAAATGATTCATGCAGCTTTATTTTTGGCCTCTAAATGAGACTGAACTCTGATTTTAAGCCAAAAAATGCATTTGAAAAAATGCATTATTCCTATTGTAAATTATTAAGTGAATTCTTTGCACGATGCATATACAGTGCAGCAGGTGTTCTCTTATGAATAAGCCTTAAATGAGACCCTTCACCCCCTGAGTTAACCAGAATGCTCTTGTGTGTGTGTGTGTGTGTGTGTGTGTGTGTGAGTGAGTGAGTGAGTGAGTTGTGTGTGTGTGTGTGTGTGAGAGAGTGTGTCTGTGTGTGTGTGTGTGTGTGTGTGTGTGTGTGTGTCTCTGTTCAGCTGAAACAGCTCAGAATTACATTTTAGTCTGGGACTAGGCTTAAGCCTTGTCTGTGAAACCGGGGAATTTTGTTTTGTCTTTTCCAGTACAAATATGCAAGAGGAAGCAAAAAAGTAAATAAATTAAACTGTAAAAAATATATATATATATATATTAAACAAAAATTAAAAAGTGAATTTGATTTTAAAAATTACTTGTTGTTTTTTAAAGCTATTTAATATACTTTGTTTAATTTATTTTTAAAAATGTATTAAAAATTTAATAATCAAATTTAAAAAAAAATTAATGCAATTGTATTATATTAAACCAAAGGCAAAATTTACTTTTGTCCCACAGACCTCAGTCAAGTTTGATTTTTGGCCCTTAATATTAAAAAAACTGTATACCTCTGATCTAAACATACTTAAACCAAGATACATTTACTTGAAAAGCAAAATTACTTAAGATATTAAGCCTTGTTTTCTGAAAATAATTGTATAGTTTTTGCTTAAAACAGGATAAATGTCTGCCGGCGGGGTCAGAAAACTCACAAAGAAAACAGGTTTATTTTTCTGACTGCATTGGCAGATAAACTCACTCAATTTATCCCAAAATAAGACTTAGTAAATGTCTCAAGTAAATGTTTCTTTATTTAAAAATGCTAAATAAGACAACAATACTGAGAAAACTTTTTTTGCAGTGTTAAACTCCATATATTACTGGATGTTTGCAGAATACTTTCATCATTCATCTGAATGATGGCCACGTGTCTACTCTGTTTTAACACCCGAATAAATGTAAAATCTTTGTTTCAAAATTGGCTCAGATCTTCAGACCCAGACTAATAAAAAACCAACAAATCTGCTGGCGATGCAGCACTTCTGCAAATGAACTTTTGTAGGCATCATTGCATCAGTTTGGTGTTAGCGCCACCTACTGGTCAAAAGTTATAAAAAACCCGGGACTGCTCATCATAAACCAATCCACTGGTGTGTTTGGTGAAGAAAATGATTCATGCAGCTTTATTTTTGGCCTCTAAATGAGACTGAACTCTGATTTTAAGCCAAAAAATGCATTTGAAAAAATGCATTATTCCTATTGTAAATTATTAAGTGAATTCTTTGCACGATGCATATACAGTGCAGCAGGTGTTCTCTTATGAATAAGCCTTAAATGAGACCCTTCACCCCCTGAGTTAACCAGAATGCTCTTGTGTGTGTGTGTGTGTGTGTGTGTGTGTGTGAGTGAGTGAGT